CCTCATTTATTATATTAACCTATTTTTTTGAGTAACAAAGGCAACCATGCTTCACAAACAAAACTAGTACAAACAGAAGCTTGCAGTTTTCAGTCCTTTAAAAATAGCTTTTCATCCAATGTATCACAATAAGCGCACACACACACACACAATCACCTGTAATAGTTTAAAGATTTTCCTCGCATGGATTTGGGATTCCCATTTGTGAGTTGGGCAGATTGTGTGTGTTAACGAGAACATGCATGTATTTCAAGAATTGTTTTAAATTTTTTTCTAAAAAAAAAATAAAAGTTGTCATGCGTTATATTTTCATATAGCTGAGACCCTTTTACAAGTAATTGCAATCCACTAGAAGTAGACTGGAGGAGTGGGGAAGTTACTCCCAGCAACACAAAGCACTATTTACTGAAGTTCTTAATTTTTTTTTGATGTATGACCATCACTCAATCACTGGTTCAAAATTTACTACCTACCTTGCACCTTCTGTGTATTAAGGAGAGAAAATCCCAAATTTGTAAAGAAAAAAGCAAAAGCTTTTTTTTTTTTATGACAGGTTTCAGAGTAACAGCCGTGTTAGTCTGTATTCGCAAAAAGAAAAAGGAGTACTTGTGGCACCTTAGAGACTAACCAATTTATTTGAGCATGAGCTTTCGTGAGCTCACGAAAGCTCATGTTCAAATAAATTGGTTAGTCTCTAAGGTGCCACAAGTACTCCTTTTTTTTTTAATGGCAGCTAACAGGTGTGCGGTGGTTCCGTATGTGAGGGACAATCCCACCACAGACGAGTTATCAGTTGGAGGCCCCTGGAACAGCCAGCATGCAAGATGACGTGCATTTAGCAGGGATAACTGCACACAGGCTCAGGCCCTTCTCTCACGCGTTGATACCACTCATGCTATTACTGAAACATAAACCCAGCCGTGAACTAATCTGGCGCGTTCCTAGGCGAGGAGAAGCCGCCTGCAGGAGCTGACACACGCAGCTCTCAAGCGGCCCCGGTACCTCGCTGCTAGCTATCCTTTACGGTGGCTCGTCTACACAAGCGACAGGCTGCGGCGGATGTTAAAGCTTCGGCGGGAAGCCAAATCCCGCCGCCCCACGGCCTAAAACTTCACGGCCCAGCGGGTCTCTCAGCAGTAGGCGGCGAGGCGCGGGGTGGGATGGGAAAGAGGCGGGACGTTGCCCTGGAATGGAGGAGGGGAAGGCTGAATGGCGCAGGGGAGGAAGAGGACTTGGGGGTAGGGGGGCGCTGGCGGACTCACTCGGGAGGGAAGAGGCGCAGCTCCTCGATCTTGCCCAGGAAACCGAAGAGTGTCCGCATCTGCTCGGAGCTGGCGCTAGGAGAGACATTGGTGACCTGAATCACGTCGGTGCCGCTGCTTGAAGCCATCGCGCTGCCACCCACTCCAGTGCTACAAACACATCAGGGAGAGGGAAGAGCGCGTTAGGAACCGGGTAGCTTTCCGCTATGTCCCCTGCCGCTTCCCGTCCGGGCACAAGCACGGGCCCCGCGCACAAAACAACCGTTGTCGGGCAATAACTGCCACCAGCTGCCTGTTCCACCAGCCTGCCCGGGCCGCAGACTAGTATCCCACAATCCTTTACTGCTCTTCTCTACGCAGGCGCGAGCTGCGTACTTCAGTGGTCCTGCGCAGACGCACAAGTCGCTTCTCCTACAGAACCCCGATGTGCGCATGTGTATTACCTGCACCTCTCCCAAGAACTTGCGGTTACTGCACATGCGTACTAGTCAACCACGTCTTGCCGCGCTTGGTGCTTCTGCGCCCGCGTCACCCTGGTGCCTTGACTGACCCGCGCGTGTGCAGTACAGGGAGCTATTCTGGAGGCTGGGCAGGCGAGACGGTGTCTGGGCGCGAGGGGGATTATCTCCGTTTCCCACTCCGGAATCGCTTCAACTGAATCCCCAGGGGGCGGAGAAAGTTCTGGCAGAGCAGAAGGCGTAGGGCCTAGTCTGAGGCCTGCCCGGGGCTATCGGCACAGAGCGCTCTTAGCTGAGGAGGCTGTAGCCTGGGTGGGCGCCCCCTCCCTATCCTTGAGGGTCCACGAGCCCTACAGCCGCAGGGCGCCTCCTCTGATCCTCCAGGACCAGCAGACCCTGCATTAGCAGGACAGTGCTGAGCGACCCCTTTCTCCAAATGACTCCAGTGGGAGTTGAGTGTGGTCAGCAGCTGGCAAAGTCTGCTCCTAATTATTTTACTGTTGTCAATTTAAAGTAGACTTCCTAGGGTAGATATTGAACTGCAAGCAAGATGTGCACCGACACGAGAAGTAGACTACAGTATTTCATCTCAAATTTAAAATACCTGAATAATATTAATGTCCTAGTCATTTTTCAGTTCTAGAGTAATTCTTTTCTAACTCTTATGCTGAAAATGAAACCAGTCTTCAGCCTGAGCTTGTTGTAACTGAAGTAAACTTGCTGTAACTGAAGTAAATTTAATGGCCAACCCCTCCACTCTGAGTCTTCTCTTTTCCAGACTAAACAAACCCAGTTTTTTCAATCTTCCCTCATAGGTCAAGTTTTCTGGACCTATAATCATTTTTGTTGCTCTTCTCTGGACTTTCTCCAATTTGTTCACATTTTTCCTGAAATCTGTGCCCAGAACTGGACACACATTCTTCAGTTGAGGCCTAATCAGCACAGAGTGGAAGAATTACTTCTCATTTCTTGATTACAACACTCCTGCTAATACATCCCAGAATGATGTTTGCTTTTTTTGCAAGTGTTACATTGCTTACTCATATTTAGCTTGTGATCTACTATGACCCTCAGATCCCTTTCTGCAGTACTCCTTCCTAGGTAGTCATTTCCCATTTTGTATGTGTGCAACTGATTATTCCTTCCAAGTGGAGTACTTTGCATTTGTCCTCATTGAAGTTCATCCTATTTACTTCAGACCATTTCTCCAGTTTGTCCAGATCATTTAAACTTCTGAAATAAAACACTGTCTCCAATATATTCAAATAATTTGTTGGATAATCTGTGCCCTGCTGTATTATTTTTCTGGGTAGTTGAATAATATGTATAATCATAATTAATACCTCCTTAGGTCAGTTAGAATCTTAGAATATCAGGGTTGGAAGGGACCTCAGGAGGTCATCTAGTCCAACCCCCTACTCAAAGCAGGACCAATCTCCAACTAAATCATCCCAGCCAGGGCTTTGTCAAGCCTGATCTTAAAAACTTCAAAGGAAGGCGATTCCACCACCAGTACAGTAGAATCAGTTATGGAATTCCAATTTGTGGTGGGAGAAAAGGATGTGGGGAGCCTATCTCTTTCCATTTTTTTCAGGGGACCTAGAATGAGAGAAAGACCGTGCTATAAGAAACATCCATCTTTCCTCTTTGAGGAAATGGGATTGGAAACCAGGCATGAGACATTTCTTTGCTTCATCAGGGAGGAGAAGGGGAGGAAGAAGAAGTATGTGTGTGTGTGTGTGGGGGGGGAATTATGTGAATTAGACCATTGTCTCTCAGGGAGGAGAGTGTGCATGAAGCGGGCGGGAGGGAGTCCCTCACAGCAAGGATTGGGGTTTGAGAAATGGGAAATACAGCATGCATGCTCAGGACAGATGTCTTCAGGAAGCAGGTGAGGGAAGAGGTGAAAATGAATAGAGGATGAATGTCTGTTATAGAGAAACATCAAGGGTTACAAGGGATGTGGCTGGGGGAAGAACAGCCTTCCTACCACAATTGTATTGTCTTGGTAGGGGAGAGTTGTCCACCATTAATCTCCCCCAAATATGTTTGATAGCAAAAGCATCAGTGTATATTATTTTAAAACAAGACAATTCCACATACTGACCACATTAAATGTGACCTGTAAAAGAAAACAAATCTTGTTTAGTGCCCTTTGTGTTTGTTTATTGTGTATAAAGAAGTTTTGAAATGGGTTTTTTTTCTGCTTGCTTTTTCTTAGAAATCACAGGAATGGCAAATCTCCCCTGTTTTCATTTGAGGACTCCTGGATAACTGAGGGGATTGGGGTCTTTCTCCATCTTTAGCTGAAGATGCAGACATGCTGAATGTTCAACAAAGAGTTTTTCTCCAAAGTATTTGTTAAATAGTTTACAAAATAACTTATGAGCAAAGTTTTAAATGGTCTGATTACATATCATGTCTTTCACTTGCCTGGCCTCTCTAGCATAATATAAATATATTAGCTCTCCTATTATCCATGGGGTCTTCTGGGAAAAACAGGGCTTCTCTGGAGGGAGCAGGAGCACGCTCAGCCCTCCATTTGAAATGAGGTGAATCTTTTGCAAAGCTTTTCTCCCAGGTGTTTGTCAGAAGTTTGAGTGAACTAGGTTTTAACAAAACAATCACAAGGTTTTAAAGTGTGAGTCTACTCTGAAAAGTTACTTTGTGGGAGGACGTTGTGGGGGTTCTGGGTTTATTTTCTCAGGATGACTCCAGTCCAATCCGTTCAGTTTACAAGATGGTTTTTCTAACTGCCAGCCCTGCAAATTCACTCAGCCTGGGGTCTAAAAGTTAACCTGGAGCCTCTCTGGCTTACATATCAGTAAGGAAGGGCTCGAGCAAGATTCAAGAAGGGACTGAGATATTTCGATAAATGGAACAATACTCCGCGGGGTTAATGCTAACAAACACCGGACAGCTGTGGTCACTGACCCATACATCGCGCTTGGCACTGCTAGGTCCCCCTTTAACACAGGATGACAAACCACACCACCACAGACACAAGGAGACGTATGGGGGGCGAGTGTATGGTAGCCAGCAAGGGAGGATGGGGACCGATTTCCCAGTCTCACTTACTGAGGTGGCGGACAGGGCCTGGAGGGGTCATTGGGACAGAGGGGCCCACGTTGGGGGTGGAGCGCCAGAGGCATCCCAGGGCAGGCAGTGACTTCCCCTACCGTACCGCACCCGGCAGCGCTGAACGCGGAGGCCGTGGCTGGCTCCGCCTGCTTCCCTGGCTAGTGGGGCGGGCTGACGGGGTCGGGGGGAGGCGGGCCGCGCCGCGCCGCACCGCGCCTTGGCGCTTTCTGGGGACATGGCGGCGGCACGCCGAGGGGGAGCGGGAGATTCTCGCGTCGGCTTCAGGCGGGATGCGGGGGAGCCGGGGCCCGCCGTGCCGCAGGGGCTGATCAGAGCGGCCAGGAAGAGCGGCCAGTTAAACCTGGCAGGCCGCGGCCTGAGTGAGGGTGAGAGCGACAGCCTGGGGCTCCGCGGCAGGTGTGGGGGGCCTGGTCTCTCCCGAAGGCGTGAAGGAGACCGGTGCATCCCTCCCCCTTTGTGCGCCGGGGCCGGGGTCGGGCCCTGCCTTTCCCCCAGGGGCAAACATGCTGACTGGGGCACCCGCCTCTCCGGGCTGGGTAGGTGGGTGCCCCAGGGCTGGACCGGCTGCTCCAGTGTGGAGGCCCCGCCACGGGACTCGGGGCGAGTGCGTCACACTAGGGCCAGGCTGTCCCCCTTGCGGGCTCTGAATAACGCAGGGAGGACACTGTGCTTTGAAGATGTGATGCTACATGTTTCTTTTATCTGTTCATGTGGGGGCCTGGGCTTGTATGTTAAAAAGGGCTCCCCTTTTTGCTAAGGCTGGTAGATCCCAACTGGTAGGCAGCTTTTGCAGAAAGGCTTCTGAAAGCTAGGATCCCAGTCACATAGGGCTTGGGAATGCATTGGAAGCCATTGTGGTCTGTAGGTCATAGGTGTGATGGGCTCTCTTTGTATAAGGCTAACCTTAGCAATAAGCGAGCTGATGGATTCTGCTCTAGCTGAAGCTTCTGAACAGTCCTGAGGGATAGCGCATTATAATACTCAAATCTGGATGTTACAAAGGCATAAATGCCACTGGCAAGGTCCAAAGCCAAAAGAAAAGGATGTGGCTGTTGCAACCAAGCACAGGTTATTAAAAAAAGTCCTTTAGACAAGCAGTGGCAGCTGACTATTAAGGAGCAGCTGGGGATCCTCTAGATTCCCAGAATTGTAAATGCCTTTTTCAAGCCCTTTCAGTTATGAGGATCTGATGCCATTCTCCTCACACTCTCCATGATGCTTAGCCAATTTAGCTGGTTAGCTACAATTTATGATTACATAAGTACTTTGGTTAAGAATGAGTGCTGATCAGAAAATAGCGGGGAAATACTAGTGAAAGTAGTCAATTTTTTGTCCATTTCATTTGGACAAATGTTCTAACCAGCTCTATGAAGAATAAAGTTATAAAACATTTTTGGATAATCACAGTGACAGTAAAAGCCTAATGTTAAATATTGGAGACATTTATTGTACAAATATGCCACTTTTTTATGTGTGTAGTACCTGCGAATGTGTGGCGAATAAATTTGGATATTCCGGAGGAAGCCCATCAAAATCTGTCTTTTGGTGCTGCTGATCGCTGGTGGGAGCAAACAGATCTGACCAAACTCATCTTAGCCTCAAACAAACTGCAGTGTCTTTCTGAGGATGTCAGACTTTTGCCTGCTCTCACTGTACTGGATGTAAGTAAAGAGCACCTGTTATCAGATTGTGCTTGCATTCTGGAAGGGCGGGGAAAGGACTAGATTTCCTCACAGAGGTCTCAAGTTCCCCTCTCTTGTATTAAATGCTGGGTGTATTAAAGTGGTATTGATGTGTTCCTAGGGAAATGTAGGAATTGTTGTAACATATCCGATTAATGGTGCATCTAATCTAGTATCCTGTTTTTGACAGTGGCCAGAACCAAATTTTTCACAGGAAGGTCCTAGATACTCCATAATGGACAATTATTAAATATCTTGCCTGTGAGGACAAAAGTCCAGTCTCCTCCTTGATGAAGATTTGCCTAGATAGTGTCTTTGAGGAGAAAAGGCACCTGGGGGATCTTCAGGACCCAAAATAGGATTTTGAGTCCCTTGTCTACACCCCTTCCCCACAAACTCTCTAGGTATTTATTTAGCCACCATAGAATCATAGAATATCAGGGTTGGAAGGGACCTCAGGAGGTCATCTAGTCCAACCCCCTGCTCAAAGCAGGACCAATCCCCAATTAAATCATCCCAGCCAGGGCTTTGTCAAGCCTGACCTTAAAAACTTCTGAGGAAGGAGATTCCACCACCTCCCTAGGTAACGCATTCCAGTGTTTCACCACCCTCCTAGTGAAAAAGTTTTTCCTAATATCCAACCTAAACCTCCCCCACTGCAACTTGAGACCATTACTCCTTGTTCTGTCATCAGCTACCACTGAGAACAGTCGAGAGCCATCCTCTTTGGAACCCCCTTTCAGGTAGTTGAAAGCAGCTATCAAATCCCCCCTCATTCTTCTCTTCCGCAGACTAAACAATCCCAGTTCCCTCAGCCTCTCCTCATAAGTCATGTGTTGCAGTCCCCTAATCATTTTTGTTGCCCTCCGCTGGACTCTTTCCAATTTTTCCACATCCTTCTTGTAGTGTGGGGCCCAAAACTGGACACACTACTCCAGATGAGGCCTCACCAGTGTCTAATAGAAGGGAACGATCATGTCCCTCGATCTGCTGGCCATGCCCCTACTTATACATCCCCAAATGCCATTGGCCTTCTTGGCAACAAGGGCACACTGTTGACTCATATCCAGCTTCTCGTCCACTGTAACCCTAGGTCCTTTTCTGCAGAACTGCTGCCGAGCCATTCGGTCCCTAGTCTGTAGCGGTGCATGGGATTCTTCCGTCCTAAGTGCAGGACTCTGCACTTGTCCTTGTTGAACCTCGTCAGATTTCTTTTGGCCCAATCCTCTAATTTGTCTAGGGCCCTCTGTATCCTATCCCTACCCTCCAGTGTATCTACCACTCCTCCCAGTTTAGTGTCATCTGCAAACTTGCTGAGGGTGCAATCCACACCATCCTCCAGATCATTTATAAAGATATTGAACAAAACTGGCCCAAGCACTGACCCTTGGGGCACTCCACTTGATACCGGCTGCCAACTAGACATGGAGCCATTGATCACTACCTGTTGAGCCCAACAATCTAGCCAACTTTCTATCCACCTTATAGTCCGTTCATCCAGCCCGTACTTCTTTAACTTGCTGGCAAGAATACTGTGGGAGACAGTGTCAAAAGCTTTGCTAAAGTCAAGGAACAACACGTCCACTGCTTTCCTCTCATCCACAGAACCAGTTATCTTGTCATAGAAGGCAATTAGATTAGTCAGGCATGACTTGCTCTTGGTGAATCTATGCTGACTGTTCCTGATCACTTTGCTTTCCTCTAAGTGCTTCAGAATTGATTCCTTGAGGACCTACTCCATGATTTTTCCAGGGACTGAGGTGAGGCTGACTGGCCTGTAGTTCCCAGGATCCTCCTTCTTCCCTTTTTTAAAGATGGGCACTATATTAGCCTTTTTCCAGTCGTCTGGGACTTCCCCCGATCGCCATGAGTTTTCAAAGATAATGGCCAATGGCTCTGCAATCACATCCGCCAACTCCTTTAGCACTCTCAGATGCAGCGCGATTGTATCTCAGTACCTCAGGTTTCTAGTATATCACAAGAGCACTGCAATAACAATGTAATATCTTGTGGGTTTGGCACCTGGAGTGCTGCAGAGGCAACGTGCTCAGATCCTGTCGGCATGGAAGCATACTCTGATGCCCTTAACGAGCTAAACAGTGGTACTGGTTGGTTTGGGAGAGAGTTGTTTCTTCTTTCTTGGAGGGAAGGTTGCCCAGGCACTCCCCTTTTGTGGATGGTAGCTGGCGAATAAGGGCATTTGAATGGGGTTCTTGGAGGATTCCTGAAGGAGTGAAAAATTAAGGAATAGATGTACTTAGAACTTGGAAAAACTTAGATACAGCCAGAGGTAGATACAGAAGATCAGAAGTGTGTGTCTGTGTGAAGTTAGAGAAATCTCAAATCAAAGGATTCAGCTATAGCACTTTGGGTGAGAATTGCCCCCATCAAGCAGCTGGGAAGAAGAGAACTGGACTTCCCAGTAGAGAAATGTCTTTCATCTTGATTTCAAAGTGTCCGGTAAATTCTCCTCTGCCTTTTCCTCCTGTCTGCTGGGGAAAAAAAGCAGAGCTTTACTGCCTGTCCTGCGGTGGGCGGGCGGGCCTCCCCTGTACCCCACTGGAGGGAGGCTGATTTTTTTCACTCTTCCCCCATCCTTTTTAGTTCATCTCTCACCTATGCTGCTCACAGCTTTTCCTGTCAACTGAGTGAAGCTTTTATGAGACTGGTAACTCTGTAGTGTTCTATTAGTAATGAAAATATCCTGACAATTGGCACTTGTCAAGGCTCTTGTACAAAATTTTCTTTTGTATAATAGTTTGTTTCTTGGCTATATATAAAAAAAGGGTATTGACAAGCAGTTACACTTCTAAAAACCTTTTTGTTTCTAGGTACATGATAATCAGCTGACATCTATTCCTTCTGCTATAGGATTTTTGGAAAATCTTCAGAAGCTTAATATCAGGTAAATATGTTTTACAACTCTGAATACAGTAAATATGTGTCGAGTGTTTGAGAACCTTAAAATCTTCTAAAATTGTCTGACTGTAATTTAAGAAAAGCTCTCTAAACCAGCACTATGTTCAATGTTGTTAAATGTGGTTGTAGCAGTGAGGGGAGAACTTTGTGAGTGTAGTCAGGCTTTCAGTTTGGTATTTTAGTGTAAAATTCATAAAATGACAGAGTCCCATTTTGGTTCTTGATTGTGCAAAGAGAATCATGCAGACAAACTGCTGTGTCTAGGTAGACACATTGCACAGGCATTGGGATCTGCCTTCATGGTTCTACTTGCATGATTGAGGCCTTGATTTGTCACTTTTTTAACTGTTATTGGTCAATGATTGTGTTCATTGTTTTTTCTATACACCGTTCTTCCAGCTAATTTTCAGAGCTTTTAGCCCAGTGACGTTAATCCTTACTTGTGTAAGTGTACATCTCAGACCCAAGACCCTGGATCTCTCAGGTTTCAGTTCTTAGAAGTGTTGTGACTAAGTCATATTTTTATCTGAAATGTGATCCCACCGCTGACACTTGACACATGTAAGGATGCTTGGAGAAAACAGTGATCTGAACATGCTCACATGAGTCATGTAAAATTGTTGTGAAAATTTACCAGCTCAGATACAGAATCTACTCATTTAATTGCCTGATAAATGAAAAATGTAATGACATCCCATTTGCCTGTTGAGGTCTGTGGGCTGGCATTCTCCCCCCCCAATATCTTCTGGGACTAGTGAGTGAATAGAATTCTAGCAAGGCAGCCCTAAAGACAGACGGAAAGCACTCCTTTCATGAAGAAGGCCAACATTATTTGTAGTTAAACACACTCAGTGAAAAAGTGGGAGCCTGAGTCTTGGAGATGTCACTGCTCACAGAAAACGTATGTTGTCTGTACATTTAAATATTTTTGATGTCATAAAACTTCCGTTTGATTTCCTGATAAATGTACACTATATGTTGTTACTCCTCCTATCATGTGACAAATAAGGATGTTAAAGATTCCGGGCACTAAGGATGGAATTTTTCAAAAGTGCAAAGGGAGCTACTCGCCCAACTCTCTTAACTCATTAAAAGTCAATGAGAGTTGGGGATTCAATTCCTTCACTACATCTAAAAGTCTTGGCCTAAGTTACTATATATAGCAAGGTGCATTGCTTTCTGGTGATTAGGCACTTGATCTGAAGCACACTGAAGTGAACTGAAGTCTGTCCATTGACTTCAATGAGCTTTGAGTCAGATCCGAGACTTGCAAGGCAGCTCCACAAGCCTTTATGCTCTTTTTTGGCTCTGTATTGACAGAATTTGTCTTTGTACTTCATGAACAAATTTAAAACACTGAAAACCTCAATATTTGAGTTTTGATGTGATCAGGAAAGGCCTTTCCTCAGTCTTGTAGTTTTTAGGTTTTCATCTATGAATTCTTCAAAGGAAGATGTGCGCTCAGTCTAACAGCTTCAGTTTAAAGGATAAAAAATACTCTTCATATGGAATGTGTTTGACAATGAAATTTTAAAAGCATATTCATGCTGAAAAGTGGTTCTTACCATATGAACCTTCAGATTTGTGGACTGAAAAATATAGGTACAATTTTCTTTGTTTAAGATGCTGTCTGATAGAATAGCAACTAGGCAAGATTCAGCTGAAGCGTAACTTCAGATGGAGGTTTAAAGTCTTCTTGGGCAAATAAACAGAGGACAACCTAGAAAACTAACCAGTAAAAAGCTGCTTAATATTTATATCCATTTACATTTGCACTACTACCTTAACCCTGTCTTGCACAATGCTGTGTGAAACAGAAATATTTCACGAACAGTTGAGTTTAAAACAGGTTCATACTGATGTATCCCTTTACATTTATCATTTTATTACTAGTCACAACAAGCTGAAAAATCTTCCAGAAGAGCTGACACAGCTGAGTCAGTTGAAGAGCCTGCTTCTCCAACACAATGAGTTGAGTCATTTACCAGATGGGTTTGGACAGCTTATCAGTTTAGAAGAGTTAGTAAGTTGCATGTTTTTCTAATGGATTTTTTTTCTTGGTTAGCTGGTTTATCTGCACTTTGCTAGTGACAGTTCAAAAAGCCTATCTTTGGCAGGGCTACCACCTACACCCACTTCATAAGTATTTTAAAATATTCTAATGATTTCTGTGTACTATTGGATGTTACACTGTCTGATTGAAACCGTGTTCTTTAGTTTGCCAAATATTTGAGCTTTTTGCAGCATCACACTTAGCTTAAGACAATAGAAGGAAAGTTTATTATCTTGAAGTTACTATTAAACCCTTTCCAAAGTCTTTCAAATGTGTGGCAAAAAGTCAAAGGGAGCTGGGCTCCTAAGTCACTTATGCACTTTTGAATATCCCATCCCTGTTGTCGTCATGGACAGCTCAATAAAATAATCTATCAATACATGGCAGCAGTTAAAGAAAAGCCAACAAAATGTAAGGATGTTTGAAGCATGGGATAGAAAAACTACTGTCGTTGACGCTACTCTCACCACTGCTGGAGAACCATGTCGTCTGCTCTTGTCCCTAAACGAGGAAACTCCCAAACATGCTACCCAGCTACATTTGATGTTCTCTCTCAGTGATTAACTTTGCACATGGGCTGTTTCTAAACACTCTTCAAAGCCATTTTGTCTACCATTTCTCAGTTCTTTTTTTTTTTTCCCCCGCCCAGGATCTTTCCAACAACCAACTTGCAACCGTTCCATCCAGTTTTGCTTTCCTAACCAGGTTGGTGCGACTCAATTTGGCCCATAACCAACTGAGGAGCCTGCCAGCAGAAATCAGCGCAATGAAAAGTAAACTAGTTTCCCACAGCATTTTAAATGTCTTACAATGAATCTATAGTCTCTTATCTCGAAAGATGTTGCTTGCATTTTTATTGCAGCTGAATAAATAGGTATAATGAGAGGAATTGGCTGAAATAAGTCCTAGCTCGCTGGTTTTCCTGGATATCAAACTTCAGGTTTCCGATAGCTGGCATTTCTTGATAGAATGTGAGGAGTATTCAAAGAAGAGCAAGGATAAACCTTGTTCTGCTTAGAGGCTAGTGTTCTTGTTAAGATTATATAACAGATGAGCCTTTTCCTTATGGCATATGCTGTATGGAGAACCAAGCGCATAAAGGAGGTGGTGAAATTAGAGCTGGAGAAAGTATAAATGGATTACTTGTAAGGATGCTTGGAGAAAACAGTGATCTGAACATGCTCACATGAGTCATGTAAAATTGTTGTGAAAATTTACCAGCTCAGATACAGAATCTACTCATTTAATTGCTTGATAAATGAAAAATGTAATGACATCCCATTTGCCTGTTGAGGTCTGTGGGCTGGCATTCTCCCCCCCCAATATCTTCTGGGACTAGTGAGTGAATAGAATTCTAGCAAGGCAGCCCTAAAGACAGACGGAAAGCACTCCTTTCATGAAGAAGGCCAACATTATTTGTAGTTAAACACACTCAGCTTTAATCTTTGAATCATCTTCAATCATCAGCCTTAATAGCCATTTAAGCTAAACATGGACCGTAATTGCTGAAGCAGATAAAGAGGACCAGATTGTGTACTGATGGTAGACTGTTAGTTTCTAAACTGATATAGTTAAAGTGTGTGTAGACCGATTTGTGCTCCCGCCATACCACTTCCAATCTGAGCCCCCAAACAAGGCCTACCATGTGGCCAACTCTCTGCATTGTCATTGAATACTTAATATTTAATGTGGATAGAGTACTCTGAAAATCTTTGAAGTCCGTTTATAATTAGACAAACAGAAAGCTTTTGGAAACACTGAAGGTGTAGGTATTTCTGAAATTGGCAGCTGCCACACAAAGCTTATTTTAGAAAAGCATATTTCTGTGTGCCATCTGTCTCTCTAGTAAAAGTAAGTTTTAGAATTTTTTGATATTTCAGTTTTTCACCACTGAAATTATTTCTCTAGGGTTAAAACAACTGGATTGTACTAAAAACCAGTTGGAAACCATACCTTCTGAATTGGCCAGCATGGCATCTTTAGAACAGCTTTATCTAAGAAAAAATAAATTACAGTACTTACCAGAATTTCCATCATTCAAGTTACTGAAGGTAAGTTTTGTTACAGCTTTTGTAATCTAAATGTGTTGGAGTAAATTTTTTTTCTTAACCTTGCTTTGCTGTTGTGAACATGTAAATTATCACAAATTACTTTAAACATTAGCTTAACCTATAATGCTAGGCACAGAATTGTTACCAGTGTGTACAGTAGTAACAGTTGCATAGTTAAACTTAAACTGGAAGACAAATTTATAACTATCTTTAAATTTGGGAAAATACAAATTTGGATTAAGGGGAATGACTGAAAAAACTGAATGTAATAATATACAGTAGATATGATTTATACTAGTCTCTAGAAATGCTTTGTTATTCCAAGCATTTTGTAAAATGATGGGCTGTCCGTCTGAACTGTACCTAACACAAAGATGGACCTGTCTTGAGTAAAGGTATTCTGAAAGCTGATATCAGAAGCACATCTCTCCATGTATAGACTGTAAATTCTATTCACATTTGTTTTGTGATTTGAGAACTGCAGAAGACAAAACCTAAAATGAATCCCATTACATCGCAAGGCCTACTTTTGTTGCATTCTGTGAGTCTCATAGACATACACAGAGTCATATAGTGTGAACCTATAACAAAATCTACCTAGATCAACGTGCTGTGATGTCCAAAGATCCAGCTTTACGGGAAAGGAAGTTATTGCTATTCCTAGCTTTTTGTTGCAAGGAAGATATATAGTCTTTCAAAACATACAAACCCTATACCCAAATGTTAGTTTGTGACCAGAATTCTTAATACTTGATGATGCAGGATTTTGCATATTAGCTGTGTGACAGACTATAGAATACTTATTGTGATGTTGTTTCTAAGTCTATATTGAAGTTTCTTAAATATTTTGATGATGAAAGATGTCTTCTGTATGTAAGTGGGCAGCCTACAAGGGAGCCAACCCCCTTTCTTTTCTACATACTTCTCTTCCTTCCATGCTTTGAGACATGTATGCTTTGAGAGCATATCTGCTTTATTTACAATTAGTCCCATAACTTTTTAATATTGATAATCAGTTTAGTGTAAGTGTCTTTGGTAGGGAAAGGGCTGTGAAGGAAATGAAAAAAAAATTCTCCTCTTTAGTAATTAGGCCATGTTCTATTTTTATTTTAAATGAATTATCTGTGGTATCTATAACAATGATAGTGTTGTTACTTTTCAATAACAAACCCTTCAGAAATGGGATAAGCAACAGAGCTTTAAGGACAAAAAGGATTTAAGGCTAACATTTTCAAATGTGAGTTCCTGCAGTTAGGTTCTTAAGGCCAAGATTTTCAGAAGTGACTTGTAATTATGAACATTATCCCCTTCACTTTGTCAAGTTGGACAACCAAAAATGGGGGTGCAGTGTCAGAATTGAGATGAGTAAATTACATTTTGCCACAGAAATATAATTTTGCTGATCTCTGCTTCAACAGGAGTTACATGTTGGTGAAAATCAGATTGAAGTGTTAAGTGCAGAGCATCTTAAGCATCTGAATTCTCTCTGTGTGTTAGAGCTTAGAGATAACAAGCTAAAATCACTGCCTGATGAAATTACTCTGCTTCAGAAGTTGGAGCGACTTGACTTAACCAACAATGATATCAGTAGGTAAGATTAAAAACCACATGAATCTGTGGTGAGGCATAACTAATTAAATCAGTCTTCATTGTTTGAAGCAGTGAATTATTATTCTAATAATTTTGTAGTTATAAACTTATATCGTGCTTCAGTATTTTTGTAAAACAACTAAATGATTCAGTTATAAAATAAAATTGAACCGTGAGCGGGTTCTTCTAATTCACTTTACCTTTTGTGGTTTTCATTCCACTACATCATCTTTCTTACATGTGATATCCTTGTGTATCTAAGATTCAGAATAGTGAGTGATCTGACTGACTGGTGCAAATCAGTTTTGTTGAAGTCACTCTCTGAAATGAGCTACTTCTATTTGCAGCTTGCCTTGTGCTCTGGGGAATCTTCCTCAGTTGAAACTCCTGGCACTAGAGGGAAATCCTTTGAGAACTATTCGAAGAGACATGTTACAGGTAAGTATACTTAGGAATCAGATACAGCTTGATATATCAAATTGTGTTACAGGACTTTATTAAAATTACAAAGGCAAGCTCTCAAAAGTTTGGGAATGGCACAATTACGGTTGCTTGTGTAAAAAACAGTTACTCACTTTCTCGGAACTGTTGTTCTTCGAGATGTGTAGTGTATGTCCATTCCAAGCGGGTGTGTGCGCGCTGCGTGCAGGCCAGCCGGAAGATTTTTCCCCTAGCAGCGTCCGTAGGGTCAGCCTGGGCGCCCCCTGGAGTGGCGCCTTCACGGCACCCAATTTCGGGCCCCACCGACCCCCACACCCCTTCAGTTTCTTCTTGCCAACTATTCCGACAGAGAGGTAGGAGGGTGGGTATTGGAATGAACATGAACAACACATCTCGAAGAACAACAGTTACGAGAAAGTGAATAACCGTTTTTTCTTTGAGTGATTTTCCATTCCAAGCAGGTGATTCACAAGCTAGAGCTCAGGAGGTGGGGTCAGAGTTATCCACAGAAAAGAGCACGGCTTGTCCAAAAACCACATCATCCCTGGACTGTTGTGCATAGTGCGATGTAAATGTATGTATTGAGGACCACATGGCTGCCCTGCAAATTTCCTGAATAGGGACTTGTGCCAGGAACGCCGCAGAGGAGGCCTGGGCCCTGGTAGAGTGAGCGGTTATTTGTGGAGTGGGCTCCTTTCCCAGGGTATAGCACTCCCTAATGCAGGACGTACATGACGATGTACATTGAGAGGATACTGCGAGGCCCTTCATTCTGTCCGCCATGGCTACAAAGAGTTGGTCGGACTTCCGGAACAACTTAGTTCTCTCTATGTAGAAGGCTAAGGCCCTACGCATGTCCAGTGAGTGCAGCGTACGCTCCCTATCGGAGGAGCGTGGCTTGGGATAAAACACTGGGAGGAAGATGTCCTGGGTCATGTGAAAATGGGAGACGACCTTCGGGAGAAAAACCGGATGAGACCTGAGCTGGAGCTTATCCTTATGAAAAACTGTGTAAGGGGGCTCAGATGTGAGGGCCCTGAGCTCAGAAACCCGTTGAGTCGAGGTAAATTGCCATGAGGAATGTGACCTTGAATGAAAGATATAACAGAGAGCAGGTGGCCAGAGGTTCAAATGGCGGGCCTGTAAGCCTGGAGAGGACTAAATTGAGGTCCAAGGCAGGGACAGGCTGACACGTGTGTGGGAAGAGCCTGTCCAAACCCTTGAGAAAACGACTGACCATAGGGTTTGCAAAGACTGAAAGGCCATCTGAGCCCAGATGGAAGGTGGAGATATCGGCCAAAAAGTGGACCCTTATTGATGACCAGGACAAGTCTTGATGCTTTAGGTGAAGGAGGTAGTCCAGTATAAACGGTATGGAGGTGAGGAGCGGCGACTGACTATGTTGCTCCACCCAGATGGAAAACCTTTTCCACTTGGCCAGGTAAGTAGCCCTGGTGGAGGGCTTTCTACTACCCAGGAGGACTTGTCTGACCTGATCCGAACAAGACAGCTCTGTGGCACTTAGCCATGGAGCATCCAGGCCATAAGGTTGAGCGACTCCAGATTAGGGTGCCGGAGTCGGCCCTGGTCCTGCGTGATCAGGTCAGGGACCAGCGGTAAGGTGAGTGGGGTCGCTATGGACATTTCCAGGAGCGAGGTGAACCACTGCTGACGCGGCCATGCCGACGCTATTAGTATGACTCGGACCAGCTCCCTGCAGATCTTGAGGAGCACCCTGTGGGCTAGGGGAATGGGTGGGAAAGCATATAGCAGGCAGCCCTCCCATGAGAGAAGGAAGGCGTCCCCGATGGACCCCGAGCTGTGGCTCCCAAGAGAACAGAATGTCTGACATTTCCTGTTGCCCGGAGTGGCGAACAGGTCTATCTGGGGAGAGCCCCAGAACCGGAAGATTGAGCTCACCACGTCTGGCCGAAGGGACCACTCGTGGCCACTGAAGGTCCGGCTGAGATTGTCCGCCAGTGTGTTTCGCACCCCTGGGAGGTATGAAGCCTGCAGGTGGAATGAGTGCTCTATGCAGAAGTCCCACAGTGCAAGGGCTTCTCGGCACAGGGGAGAGGAGCAAGCACCCTCCTGTTTGTTGATCTAAAACATTGCTGAGGTGTTGTCCGTGAGGATTGAAACACATCTGCCCATTATGTGTGTTTTGAAAGCATGCCAGACGCACTGCCCTCAGACCAAAGCCCTGAGGTAAGTGGGGCAGTGGGATGCCAGGAGGAAGCACAAGCAGGAGCGCGTGAGAGGAGAGGGCTCCTGCCTCATACTGAGAAAGAGGGGCGATCAGCGGGTTATCTCAAGAGCCTATACACAAATGCAAGAAGCCTGGGAAACAAGCAGGGAGAACTGGAAGTCCTGGCACAGTCAAGGAATTTCGATGTGATTGGAATAACAGAGACTTGGTGGGATAACTCACATGACTGGAGTACTGTCATGGATGGATATAAGCTGTTCAGGAAGGACAGGCAGGGCAGAAAAGGTGGGGGAGTTGCAATGTATGTAAGAGATCCGTATGACTGCTCAGAGCTCAAGTATGAAACTGCAGAAAAACCTGAGAGTCTCTGGATTAAGTTTCTTCCGGCAACTCGTAGAAGTTACTAAATCGCATGCCCTGGTTCTCATGGGAGACTTCAATCACCCTGATATCTGCCGGGAGAGCAATACAGCAGTGCACAGACAATCCAGGAAGTTTTTGGAAAATGTAGGGGACAATTTCCTGGGGCAAGTGCTGGAGGAACCAACTAGGGGCAGAGCTCTTCTTGACCTGCTGCTCACAGACCGGGAAGAATTAGTAGGGGAAGCTAAAGTGGATGGGAACCTGAGAGGCAGTGACCATAAGATGGTCGAGTTCAGGATCCTGACACAAGGAAGAAAGGAAAGCAGCAGAATACGGACCCTGGACTTCAGAAAAGCAGACTTTGACTCCCTCAGGGAACTGATGGGCAAGATCCCCTGGGAGAATAACATGAGGGGGAAAGGAGTCCAGGAGAGCTGGCTGTATTTTAAAGAATCCTTATTGAGGTTACAGGGACAAACCATCCTGATGTGTAGAAAGAATAGTAAATATGGCAGGCGACCAGCTTGGCTTAACAGTGACATCCTTGCTGCTCTTAAATACAAAAAAGAAGCTTACAAGAAGTGGAAGATTGGACAAATGACCAGGGAAGAGTATAAAAATATTGCTCAGGCATGCAGGAGTGATATCAGGAAGGTCAAATCACACCTGGAGTTGCAGCTAGCAAGAGATGTTAAGAGTGACAAGAAGGGTTTCTTCAGGTATGTTAGCAACAAGAAGAAAGTCAAGGAAAGTGTGGGCCTCTTACTGAATGAGGGAAGCAACCTAGTGACAGAGAATGTGGAAAAAACTAATGTACTCAATGCTTTTTTTTGCCTCTGTCTTCACGAACAAGGTCAGCTCCCAGACTACTGCTTTGGGCAGCACAGCATGGGGAGGAGGTGACCAGCCCTCTGTGGAGAAAAAAGTGGTTCGGGACTATTTAGAAAAGCTGGACATGCACAAGTCCATGGGGCCGGATGCGTTGCAGCCGAGAGTGCTAAAGGAGTTGGCGGATGTGATTGTAGAGCCATTGGCCATTATCTTTGAAAACTCCTGGCAATCGGGGGAAGTCCTGGACAACTGGAAAAAGGCTAATATAGTGCCCATCTTTAAAAAAGGGAAGAAGGAGGATCCTGGGAACTACAGGCCAGTCAGCCTCACCTCAGACCCTGGAAAAATCATGGAGCAGGTCCTCAAGGAATCAGTTCTGAAGCACTAAGAGGAGAGGAAAGTGATCAGAAACAGTCAGCATAGATTCACCAAGGGCAAGTCATGCCTGACTAATCTAATTGCCTTTTATGATGAGATAACTGGTTCTGTGGATGAGAGGAAAGCAGTGGACGTGTTGTTCCTTGACTTTAGCAAAGCTTTTGACACTGTCTCCCACAGTATTCTTGCCAGCAAGTTAAAGAAGTATGGGCTGGATGAATGGACTATAAGGTGGATAGAAAGCTGGCTAGATTGTCGGGCTCAACGGGTAGTGATCAATGGCTCCATGTCTAGTTGGCAGCTGGTGTCAAGTGGAGTGTCCCAAGGGTCGGTTCTGGGGCCGGTTATGTTCAATATCTTCATAAATGATCTGGAGGATGGTGTGGATTGCACCCTCAGCAAGTTTGCAGATGACACTAAACTGGGAGGAGAGGTAGATACACTGGAGGGTAGGGATAGGATACAGAGGGACCTAGAGAAATTGGAGGATTGGGCCAAAAGAAATCTGATGAGGTTCAACAAGGACAAAAGAAATCTGATGAGGTTCAACAAGGACAAGTGCAGAGTCCTGCACTTAGGACGGAAGAATCCCATGCACCGCTACAGACTAGGGACCGAATGGCTCGGCAGCAGTTCTGCAGAAAAGGACCTAGGGGTTACAGTGGACGAGAAGCTGGATATGAGTCAACAGTGTGCCCTTGTTGCCAAGAAGGCCAATGGCATTTGGGGATGTATAAGTAGGGGCATGGCCAGCAGATTGAGGGACATGATCGTTCCCCTCTATTCGACACTGGTGAGGCCTCATCTGGAGTAGTGTGTCCAGTTTTGGGCCCCACACTACAAGAAGGATGTGGAAAAATTGGAAAGAGTTCAGCGGTGGGCAACAAAAATGATTAGGGGAACACATGACTGATGAGGAGAGGCTGAGGGAACTGGGGATGTTTAGTCTACGGAAGAGAAGAATGAGGGGGGATTTGATAGCTGCTTTCAACTACCTGAAAGGGGGTTCCAAAGAGGATGGCTCTAGACTGTTCTCAGTGGTAGCAGATGACAGAACAAGGAGTAATGGTCTCAAGTTGCAGTGGGGAAGATTTAGGTTGGATATTAGGAAAAACTTTTTCACTAGGAGGGTGGTGAAACACTGGAATGCGTTACCTAGGGAGGTGGTGGAATCTCCTTCCTTAGAAGTTTTTAAGGTCAGGCTTGACAAAGCCCT